CCCTGCCTTAATGCCTCTGGATCTAAGAGCTTGTACCTACAAATTAATCAAAACAAAATATTATGCTAAATATACATTTCTGTACTTGATCTTTGATAAGAGCAATCAAAGGAGACACAACAATGATGATAGGAGACTCAGAACCAATAACAATTGGAAGACACTGATAGCAGAGAGACTTTCCAAAGCCTGTAGGAAGAATCACAAATGTATCCTTCCCACTAAGAAAATATTTAATAGCCTACCGTTGCTCTTCCTTGAAAGTTATTCCAAAATATGTAGCAGCATCATCTATCTTAGTATCTAGATCCATCTTGAAGACTTGAACTGTTTAATTAATGGTTTGCTATATTATTAAAGTTAATTAAAAGGAAATGACGTAATACTCTTGTCACTGCAGAAATCTTGCAGCAGAGAACAAGATTGATGTACACGGTGTTCCTGACCCTCCTCTCCGTGCAAGGGTCAGGCCACGCCTGACTAGTGCAATACTGAGTGGAAGTGAGAAGCTGTGATCAGTCCTCTCCTGTGTTCTAACCACACCTAAGAATTTCCTTGATTCCTAGTCGACTTCTCCAGATAGTCAGCTTCTTTAGTAGTAATCATAATATTAGAGAAAGTATCCGTAACTAATTGATCCAGTTCACTTGACGACAATGCGGCATAGTCAGGCTTGTATAGGTGGTACAATTGCTTAGGTAGATTAACGTCATCAGTTGTAGATAAACGGTCCTCTACCATACCGCCGTAACCTGGAAGAACTGTGAAAATAGAGCATTTAGACGAACAAGCATTTATTGCTCTGAACAACGTATTTGTATCCAACTTTTGCCTGTCTGGGCTTAGTCGTGCTCTCTCTTTAATCTGCTGTTGTTTCTTCAATTTGTCTTCAGATTTGGCTTCAAGAAATATATGTCGTGAATACGAGATGGTTGAATCTATATAAGTGAATGTCAACATTCAGTCTTGTCACAACTGAATAAAAGACTTACGTTTTTCGTAGACGCCTGGTTCCAAACACAAGGAAGTGAAGTGCAGGTCTGCTTAGCAATTTCAAGTCTATGATATGCTTCTACTTTAAATAAAATTGATGCAACATGTGAACACGTCTCACCACAGCTAGAGTGATACAATATAATCATCTTGAAACACAATACCATACAAGTGGTTTTTTCGAGGGTTGCAAATTTTGCAAATTTTGCGGATTCCCTCCTGATTCACATAAATAAAATCCACAAATTCGAATTTTAGCAGATTTTGCGAAATATAATTCCCTCAAAAAAACCACTTGTACGGTACAAGTATAAACTCACCCTGCCATACAAGTACAATGGGCACAAAGTACGTCTCCATCTCTCTTTGCCATGCCTACCCAAGCTTCATGAGGCTTATCACTTAGCCTCTGTGATGGCTTCACTTTGGCCTTCAAGATACAATTACTTGTATCAGGAATACTGAACATAAACACTGTTTGGACCCAACCACTGAATATGAAAAGCAGTTCTAAAACAGGACAATAACTAAGAACTTACCTGATGTAATAATTGTATGACAGTAGACTCTTGTAATTCCTTAATGAACTGACCAGGAGATTCAATTAAGTAAGTGTGTATTTGGCCAAACTCAATAGGAGGCCACATGCTAGGGTCATCTAACCACTCTTCTTCTGGTAGCTTGAAAGGATCCCTCAATTTGCTGCTGGATTGGAAGAGTAGGGATACTTTTATTCATATCAAGCATCCATTGTAGGCAATGTTGCCAACCAAAATGGTGGACAGCGCACGGCCACGCCTACTATTGTATGTTGTTCTAATCTAATGTCGTCATACGTAAGCAATTCTCACTCTGGGTGGTCTATTGATTGGGAAGCCAATGTATCTGTGAATTGTTAAAGTTGTTAACAGAACACTGGATAACTACTCGTGGCTTTTCACATGTTAGTTGGTTTCTCGAACTGTACAAGTAGGAAAAGAAACAGACACTACAAAAATATAAACCTTTATGTAATAGACTATAATCATGTATTAAATTGACTGTGATTGATGTATTTTAATATAATAAGTGAATCATAGTAGATCTGAGTATTAAATAAAAGTCTTATGCATTATTATCAAGAGTACTTGTCATTATGTACAGTATATTTTTAGTTATAATGCATTCCTAATTTTCCTGGTCTTTTTGGGAGAGGTAAACTATCAACTTCAGATATTCCTGTTGATTTCACTCCTCTGCAGTTACCTTTAATGGGGCCATGGCTGAATGAATCAACAACTTTTAAAACTTGTGTGTTGTTGTAAAATTCATGGAGACTAGGGTTTCACTAGTGCCACCACGTTGCCTCTGGCATCCAAAGAAGTTTTCCAGTGGGTCTTGGTACAGGTTATTACTTTAAAAGGCTAATTTATTGTCATTGACATCTTGCATAGATAAAATTTCCTCAATGAAATCTACGAAAGCCATTGCTACATAAAGCAAGCAATATGTAATATTGAAATGTCATTGTAGCTGCCTACCAGTTCTATTTATGCCTTGGAGAGTTTTAGTGCTTAACAACATTCTTTTCTTTTCAGCAGGTGTTTATCCTGTTCTTGCGTGAACACTGTTCTCCCAAATTTTTAAATATGGGAGAAACTCTGACTTTAACTACTGTAATAAACGTTAAGATTTAAATCAAAGCAAAGAATAATCATTAATGTCTTTACTTTCAATCTGTGGTCATCTTTATGACGATAAGGGTAAGAGAATGGTTTATGAACTTTTGTTCCATGTACATGTATGAAGCTGGCAACATTCATTATATCAAAAAACTTATCAAAAAGCATTACAAACTCTTCTGCCTCCGGTCCTCCAGTGAGTTGAAGAGCCTTGCCAACGGATATACAGCAGCTACTGATAATACATAAATGCAAATTACACAATATTATTTTTCGAGTGCAATTGTTTAATGAAGCCATAATAAGCCTGCTAAAATATACCTGTGTGGCAAGGTCAACACGCATTTTCGAAAAAGGTGTAATATGGAGGCTCTGCTGAAAGCACATGGGTAGCAGCTGAGTTGCAGAGGAGCTTGGACCTGCAGAAGCATTTGGCATGTACGTCTTGTAATTCATTATGGTGTACCATGTGATACTGAAGCCTATATCCAACAGGTGGGACGTGCTGGTGCTGGTAGAGGTACCATGGACTGTTATGCTGTGATGTTACATTCAAAACAACTGTTAGATAATTGTGATCGGGATATGATAAACTACACAGAAAATAACCATTTGTGCAGGTGTAAGCTGCTCTTTCAAGATTTTGAAAACACGTCATTTGTAAACAAAAGCTGCAAGTGCTGTGATATATGTATTGCTAAATGTAAATGTAAGCAGTACATTGAATTATTGCAATGCAATTATTCATTTATTCCTCTTTTTTAATCAAATTTTGTAAATAAAATAATTATTAAAGGTAGAACTTCTGAATGATACAAAGTTGCTTCTTCATTCATTTGAGGAACTTCTCATTGTGTTTTGTTGATGCGGTTACGTTTATTTTGATATCTTTAAGACAGCTATGAGACCGTTTATCCTTATATGAAAATACAGCTGCCTCCAGCAACTCTTTAATTATAAATTTCCTCTCATCATTGTCTTTTGGGGTAGTGTGATAGCATGATATGTAGGAAACATTTGTGTCTTGATTGTAGTTTCTGAGTAAACAACGATCAACTCATTGCAATGCATTTGGAGTTTTGTTGGCACCCAAAGTCAAGACAGCCTCTTTACATATCCTGTTCAGATGTTCCATGAACAAATCACATGGAATGTTTCTTCCTGGCAACCCATGAATGTTGATGCAACGTGACAATTTCAGCTGCTCTGCTTGTCTTTGTGGGAGAAAAAAAATGATACTGAGCTAGGAGATTCAATGCCTCTATTGAATAATTCTTTCTTCTTCTCACTTTAAAATCTATCAACAAATATTAAGGAAGCATTCTATCTCCATCACCTTCCCTTATGCCCTCAGAAAATTCCAAGCATAATAGTCCCTGCGATAAAATCTGAACAGCATAAGACATCACCCCGTCTCCTTTAACATTATATTGATCAAAATGAGCTAAAATGTCAACATAAGCCAAACATATTTCCTTTGATACTTGATGTAACGCTTTACTATGCTGCTCATCACATTCCAGGCTAAATTTGCACTTAGCAGCTGATGTACAGGATTATCTGTTACAGATTTCATTTTGAGAAAACTCATTGTAGCCACAACTATATGGCTTTCGACAACAGAAATAAAAAAATCGTCACATGCATTGAAGTCTTTGGCTGCCTTTGCAGAGATGTTCCTTCTATTTATGAGGTTTCTGAGTTGACAAAGTGTTCCTTTATCAAGGAAACTCTTGGTATCATACAGCCATGCCCATATCAGCTAATAATACAATGAGCGGCCCATTAATGATTTAATAACAAAATTTCTCACCTCAAAGAAAATCTTTTTAGCATGCCAATCTTCACATACGGGCACAGCACGATCTAACCTTGTAGCAGGATCAATGCTATTTCTTCACCCTTCAGTAGCTGACTGAACCCTCTTTCTAGTCAACTGGTCACCACCAAACAATAACTTGTGAATAATGTCACGATTAACTTCCTGCTGGTTCAGTTGATCAGTATCGGTATGGTGTTGTGTTGGTACATATGACTGTAGTTTTAAAAGCACTTCAATCATCTCTTCAATGACATTTTCGTTCTTTAATATTACACCTAAGGGCACCTATGAGACATTGAAACAAATGTGCATTTAAAACATGGAGATACAATTTTCATTCCTACAAGCAGCAATAGCAATAATTATACCACAGCATACTTACCGTGTCTGATTGTGAGGACATTTCCTTATAATGTATGTGTTCTATGTGCTTCTCAACGACACCATCAAAGGTTTGACCAAAGTATGATAAATTTCAAGTCAATATTCGACCAATTATGACTGACGTATTATGCACCATGGCTTGGTCATCAGAAAGTGATGGGAGCAAGGTGTCTAGTGGTAACTCTGAGATTCTCTTGTGCAAAAGGGGATTTGGAGACTCTGAAGCAAGGGTAAGATCAATGCAATCCTTTACAGTGAAACACTGAAAAAAGTGAAGTGATTTTGCTTTGACATCTGTACGTTGATTTCTGGGGTGAACAGTAATGTCTAAATTGTCCCCTACAACTTTGAAACCAGTCCAGATGTTATCTTTACATAAACCAGACTCTACATTTATGTCAAGGCACATATCTATTAGTACAATTATAAATCAGTTTTTAAAGTTTTTAAGTTTACTTGAGACAACAGTTAGGTTCGAAAAAGAAGGTGGAACAGGAGTAGAATTATGAGAAGGCTGAGATTGTTCATCTGGTTCATGTACATGTATATCACTTGCAATATGAACTGTAGCACCAGCAGGGACTTGACAATCATTCATTTCCTGGAAAAAATGTTTAAAAATCAACAGTGAAATACTTTACTTCTGAATTCAGTGCATCAGTACACAAATTAGGTTTCTCATCATAATTCTCGCTACCCTCTTCCAAAACGTCGGTATCCTAAACAATAAAGAATAAAAACAATGCTACATGCATTTAATATTACCTCTGTTTTATCACTATCAAAAAATATATGATTCCGATATGATTCAGTCTATTAAAATCATAATAAAAGGTACAATTCATGATATCATTATGTACCTGTGTAGGCAGATGTTTCAGCAGCTTTTCCTTCCAATCCATAACTTCAGCATCATGCTTTTTACCAAGGTTTTCCGTCATATTATAAAGTGAGTTCTTACTCAGGCATAAGAACAGTTTATTAAGTCGAGTATAAACCTACATGTATATCTAACAGTAACATTCAAATATAACAAGTAATAGCACCACAATGTCCAGAATACAGAATACACGATATCAACTTTTGAAATAGAGACATGTGCTTGAAATGAAAGTTACACAAAAGGCACACAGATAAACTTTGAACGGTTTGGCCTAATGATAAGTGGAGATCAATATTTAAAACCTGAGGAGCATACCTTATGTTCCTTGTGGTTGTGGCAGCATACATAAATTTGAACAGTAGAGGGCAGTGTTCTTTGGGTTCTTTAATAATGGTAGCCCATGGAAAATTGACAATATCATCACTATCAGATGATCTTTGGATAGAGTCAACACGCTCTGAGCACAAGCTCTTAACTTCAAATTTAGATTGTCTTCCTAATCCAGCAGCCAAGTATTTTATTACATCAGGATCTTTCAAGGCTACACGTGCTATACTCTTTGCTGAGTTTTGACACCTACTAATTGTACGAATAAAACTTTTCCTCTTGGGTGTATTCAGAGGATAGGACTTCAAGCCACTATTGTAACCAATACCTACCTAAATTTGTGTGCGACAGTAAATTCTAGTTACTCAAAATATGCTACTTACAACAATAGGGGGTGATCCAGTGTCAATACAACTCTTTTTAGATGATGAGGTCAAGGACTCTAAGTTGGAGGCCTGAAGTCTCTTGTGAGAATTAGTAGAAGTGACAGGGATAGTCGTAGGAGTGACAGGGTCAGTTGTAATACTACATTGTATGTGCAAACTAATATAAACAAAAATTGTGACTTTTAATTCTTACGGCTGATATTCAAAGCGACCAATATAATCCATGGCCTTGGCTGTTGCTTCATGAAGATTATGATCCTTTTCTTGGTGCTTCATGCACTTGCTGAAGCAACAGCGACACACAAAAGAAACTTGAACGACTTCATCAAGATCCACATCTAAGTGACTAGCTTCGCGGCATCTCTTACTTAAGTTAGCCTTTAGAAAGGCTGGTACTGTACTTGCTGGTGTCCTGGATCTCTTTTCCACCAAACCTCCATAGGCAAGACACACAGAACTATCCAAACAACTACCTTGGGCAACTGCCGCCATGGTTATAATGTGACTAATGAATGACTTTTGGTCACGTGAATCGAAAAACGAGTTTGATTGGCTGCATAAGAATCTTTGCGCAAGAACAAGACTATATCAAGCAATGTACCAGACCCTCCTGCTGTCCACCCCAATGACTGTAGGCGGAGGGTCTGGGCAGCGAGACTACAGAGGAGCTTGGACCAGCCGAGAAGCTTGGACCAGTGGTGGAGTCCAAGAGAGCCTGAGCTACGCCAGCTTTAACTGCCCTGTTGATAAGAGAGGTGAGCACTTCAGCTCGCTTTAACTGCCCTGTTGATGAGAGAGGTGAGCACTTCAGCTCGCTTTAACTGCCCTGTTGATGAGAGAGGTGAGCACTTCGGCTCGCTTTAACTGCCCTGTTGATGAGAGAGGTGAGCACTTCAGCTCGCTTTAACTGCCCTGTTGATGAGAGAGGTGAGCACTTCAGCTCCTTAAGAACCACTACCAGATGCTGGTGTAACTTGTAGACAAACTCCCTGAAGTCCCTGCTCTCACAGTGATGAGTTTCTCCTGAGGTAGGAACTATTCCACCTAAAGCTCCACTCAATGAGACCGAGGGATGGAGTGTGAGAGGTAGGCACTTCTGTGGACACCATAGTCAGGAGCATGATACAAGGGGAAATAATCCAATAATTATGAGAGGCTGGCTAAACTGCAAACTCTAAGGCTCAGAGCAGACAGTTTGCAATGAGCAAGATCGATAGCTTTGCAGCAGAGTGCATCCAGATTAAATCTAGCTGCTTAGTGTGACAACACTTACTTATAATGTAATGTGTGTGTGTCATGGTTAACCCCACCTTAAACTTGCTCTAACCGTAAAAATGTGAGGGGCATGCTTGAAACATGCGAAGGGTAGAACTTTTCAGCTGCAAAAGATCCCACCAAATTTATAGTTTCACAGTGGCACACATTCTCAACACTAGAAACATTGCCTTGGATTGGCATTTATATTATAACACTAGGCTTAAGTAAAACCTTAATAGAAGCTGACTTTGGCAGAAATTCTCTGAGATAAAGAACCTAAAAAAGCTGTGCTAGCAGCAGTACATAAAAGACCGTGTTTGAATGAAAATTTTCAGAGAGCTCCCTGACCAAACACCTTTCAATTGATGCATCACCAATGCTGTGCTAGGGACATGCACATTCTCAGATTGGCACTGTGACATAATGGCATGAGGATAGAGCACGAACTTGTAAGCCCTGAAAAGATTTGCATGTGTCTAACAGCAGCAGATACTGATCTTGCTTGAAGACCATCATTAGCGAAATAAGCAGTGAAAAGACACAAATTTCTACCAAATGTAGGGAGAGGCGATGAATTAAGTTTAGTACAGAGTGATAAAAAGCAATTGTGAGCTTAGTATTATGATGACTTTGAGGCATCTGCTAAACCTCTAGTAAAGAGGCTGTGAACAGCTCTTTCCAATGACTTGATGTCCAAGACAGGGTTTTATGGAGGGAATGGCAAATTGATATTGGCATCTTTGGAGCCTGCAGAAAATCCATATAGTTTGTTTCTTGATAAAGCATCCGCTGCTTGATTAAGCTTCCCTGCAACATGAATAGCTCTATATGAGGTGTTGTATTGTGCAAGGAAGAAGAACATGCATCTGAGAAGATGGACCAAATACTTGTCCTTAGCAGATTTGTTCATTAGGGCTTCCACAACTGCTTGGTTATCACTGCAAAAGGTCACTAAAGAATTTCTGTCATATTGCATTCGAGATCACTAGGTGAACAACTTTTGCAGCAATGTTGACTGTAGCCTATTCACTAGGCCACCGAACCTGAAACCAGTAATTATCTAGCGATGTCAGAACATAACATTCCCAAGAACCAGATACATCCTTGGTGGTAGATGGGCCAATGGCAGGCAGGCCAATATGCCACAATATATGCAGCCCACTAGGCAATGTCAGCCTTGCATTCTGCATTTAAGCGAGTGAAGGGCAATTTAAAAAAAAAAATCAAAGATTGAGTAACGTAGCAACAGCAGTAATGAATGCTTCAGACAATTCAATTAAGTGCACAAACAAATGTGTACTTATAAGTATAATGAAATTAAGCAAAGGTATGATGCAGTCCTGCTTTATGGTTGTACCTAAAGAACAAAGTTATAAAAACCAGTTATGGAATAATAAAAATGTATATACCTTAGCAGAAATCACGACAGAGTATTATAACGAAACAATCCCAACTTATGAAATTATTTCTTCTGTGGAAGAAGCCATGCAAGCTTTCAACTGGCATTCACATTACTTTGAAGCAAAGAACACCATATTTATAATGCCTTTTTTATTTTTAGAAATTATTATTGACAAGAGTACAATAGAGTGATCCTGAACTTTTAATATTGATACATCACTCACAGTAAAATATGCTCATATGTCTGTGGACTTGTAAGCTCTTAATTTTTTGTGTGTGCCTTTGGAGAGTATATAAGATATGTTGTATTTGGGAATTGTAATTTGGGACGACTCACTCCTAGAACTAACATAAGGATTATCTGGAATACCTATTATTTCCATCTTCTTGTAATACAAATAAATATCTCTCCATTCCTGCACGTGCTGTCATGTCTTTTGCCACTCATTTGTGGCTGCCAGGTCAATTGTGGGCATGTTGTGAAGTAGATCTACTAAGAGAGGATTATTCTGCTTTGGAGGCACTGAATTATACATGAATGATATGGCCATTAATTATAGGTTCATTCACAAGTTCATACTACTTTAACAAGCTGAAAAACCATAGGAAAAACCTACATCAAAAGCTCACCACCATTGCTTACTGACTTAATTACCACCATTGCTTACTGACTCAATTAGCATTTTAAAAGTACAATTAGAAAAAAGTGCCGTATGGGAAAGTAGCTTTATTTCTTGTGAACAGAAGTTTCTTACTTGTTTTCTCTGCTACTGTATGCATGAAAACATAGATGACAGGGATTATACTCAGCAAGATATGCTATAATTATCGATACCATGGTTGTTGGTTGCTTTAAGATTTGCTGACCCAGGTGATGTGACCTAAGAGATTGCTGTTTACTGCTTTACTTCTAAACACAATTACTAACAAAACAATAATACTGGTGCATAAAAAAGGTATCTCAGTCCCATGGCCTAGTTTTACAATTGATCTGAGAATGACTTAATACCAGTTGCTTTAACCAGTTTAAATTAAACTTCATCTCATCCTGCCTGTAAACTGGGTATTCTGGGTATTGCATTACCAGCAGGTAAATTAAGCTATCTGTAAATTTTTCTTTTACTTGAAATGAGACAATTTGTCCCCAGTTCTCCCTCCTCAGTAGTTTTAGTCTTGTCCACTTTTCTTTTTTTGCAGGCCTTGTAGATTCGATATACATGTACATGTGTGTGTGTTGGCCTTGGGTTAACCCAAGGCCTACTATTAAACTAGTAACACCCAAGGGTGTGCCATCTGCACTACCAACCAGTTTATAAAGTACATATATACTAGTGACATAGATGGCAGATTTGCAGCCAAAATTAGTGCAGCAGCAAAATTAACCATATGAATACTTTGGGGTGAACTGAAATATTTAATGTTACTGTGAACTATGCAAATGTGTAGATTAGCAATTAAAGCATCACTCAAAAGGGGACCCCGCTAAATGAAGCGCAAGAAATTGTTTTTCTTTCATTTATGAGTACTGGGTGTGCAAGTCAATGAAAACTTTGAACCATTCTAGAAATAATCGTTGATTTATCCACCCACTTTCTAAGCAACGAAACATAGTACCAGGTATGGCACCCTCCTTTAAATCTTTATTCTTTTCCTTGGAAAATCATTAGAGGAGGGATGCAAATACTGTATGTGTTTTTCACTTTTTGCTGAAGTAATTGACCGCAAGGGCGTAGCTAGCATAAGGCTAGGGTAGGCTATAGCCTACCCTGAAGTTCAGAAGTCAGAATTGAAGTTTAGTAGTTTACCTATATTGAGTTTCTGCCTTAGTCACTTATGACCAAAGATTATAGAAGTTTAGGGTAGCTGTCTCAACTGGCAGTTACTCACTCAGTCACTTTTGACACAGGCAAACAGAGACAGGAGAAAGAAAAGAAAAACAGCCATTTTAGCACAATTATTATAATTTATTAAGGTGGAGTCTTTACATAATTAACTTAATTAATTAGCTAGCTTAATAAAATTATAAAAAGTTAACTTTAAGTGAAGCTATCACAATGTCAGCTGCAAAGAAACAAAAGCTTTGTGAATTTTTATGCAAATTTTAGTTGAGTATATAAGTAGTCAACCCCAGCCATATAGACTATTTGTACTGAAGATGAGCATGAGGAGATTGAAGATATGATCTTGTAAATGATGATTTTGTTGATTGTCCTGCTACCTTGAGTCTTGCCTGAGTCCTCATCTGAGTCTGAGTGTGAAGCAGTTGCGAGAACCATAGATATTAGAGTAAATGAAACTCTATATTGCGAGAACACGCCCATTTCGCGGGCGTAAAAGTGGGCGTGGCCAAATCGGCGGCGCGCTTTGCGCGCCCTTTTCTACTCATAGCCTACCCCTTCCTTTTTTTCTCCCTACGCCCTTGATTGACCACACCTTTTGATATTTGCTGCAACTTTGCCAGGTTTATGCACATCATTAATGCTTCTTTTATCAAAGTAACTTGCATTGGGTTAGACAACAGATTCAACCTGGCAATAATACCCAAAGTTTTGCAAAAAAAATTTAATGACATCATCAGAGGTATGTGACAGAGGCTGAGGAGAACAAACACTTCGCACATGTTGACTTTAAAAACCTTGCAGCCAGGATATTTTAGCAGCACTATTTTTGAATAGGTGACGTGGCTTTTAACTTTTTCCACTATTTGAAATGCCACTCTTATGATGCTTAAAGACACCAGGTGAACAGAATTAGAGACAGACAGTAACAGACTCACAGATTCCCTATTACCAGTGACACTAATACATTCTATGCAGGAAGTAACCAAGCACATGTCTCTGGATATGGTGGCACTGACTGATTGTTACATAACTTGCCCTCTGACCCCTGCCCACCCTTGTAAAAATTCCCAGCAAGATCTTGTTAATTTTCTTACAAGATCATGACAAGAATCTTGACAATAATTCGCAAGATCTTTCCTGAATTTGGAACAAGGATCATGTAAGATAGTGGAAGATCTTGCTATCAAGATTCCTTCAAGTTCTTGCAAGATCAAATGCAAGATCTTTTCAAGATTCTTACTAAGTCTTAACAGGATCTTTCCTGAATTTGGAACAAGGATCATGTAAGATAGTGGAAGATCTTGCTATCAAGATTCCTTCAAGTTCTTGCAAGATCAAATGCAAGATCTTTTCAAGATTCTTACTATGTCTTAACAGGATCTGTCCTGAATTTGGAACAAGGATCATGTAAGATAGTGGAAGATCTTGTTATCAAGATTCCTTCAAGTTCTTGCATGGTATTTTAGCATACAATGCTCTTTAAAAATTAATGCAACAGTAAGATCTAGGCAAGATCTTACATTGCATGAATGCATAATACATGTGTAAAATGTTGTGAAATGTGAATGTGAATTTTTTGATTGAAGTGATTAAAACTTCAGTTTCTTTATATGCTGCCATTACTGTTAAGGCTATCGTGGGTTGTCAACTACTTCCTGTGACGTCACATGATTTGTAAGATCTTTCAAGATCTTGTAAGACTCAAAATACTGTGATGTGTAATCTTACAGTATCATAAGATCATGGCAGATTTGTCAAGATCATAAACTTATGAGATTTTGTAAGATCTTATAAGATTTTAAGTTAACAAGATCATGTTAGTTCTTACAAAATTCACAATGTGGGATATTTCAAGATTTTCATCAGGAAAATACTGTGATGTGGGATCTTACAGTATCATAAGATCATGGCAGATTTGTCAAGATCATAAACTTATGAGATTTTGTAAGACCTTATGAGATTTTAAGTTAACAAGATCATGTTAGTTCTTACAAAGTTCACAATGTGGGATATTTCAAGATTTTAATTAGGAAAATACTGTGATGTGGGATCTTACAGTATCATAAGATCATGGCAGATTTGTCAAGATCATAAACTTATGAGATTTTGTAAGATCTTATAAGATTTTAAGTTAACAAGATCATGTTAGTTCTTACAAAGTTCACAATGTGGGATATTTCAAGATTTTAATTAGGCATGATCTTACATTTTCTAACATATTCCTTTACTCATAAGATCTTTGAAATTCTTACAAAAATTATAGTCATGTTAGATCTCGGGAGATCTGACAGCTTCTTAAAATCTTATGAAATCTTAAAGCAAGAATTAGTAAGAATTTCTGTGACAAGATTTTACAAAATTTCTATCTTGCGTTTTCTTGTATTGTCATGTGAAATCATGAAACATCTTATAAGATCTTGCTGGGATTTTTTACAAGGGCATAATGAATAATCGTGCATAGCTTGTTAGAAGAAACTGCAAAACTTAATGAATTTCAGCTACAAACTCCATCAAATCTATCTGTACTATCAAATCAGTTTTAATTCTATTCAAGAAAAAGATTCAAGTGATAAAATTATGATAATCTGTATTGAGCAAGAAATATAGGGACGCAGCAATTTTATCAATGCCAATTCTGAAGACCATCAACTTTACATTTTCAGTGAAATTATCATTATACACCAATCATCATGGCATGAAACAAAGGAACCAGCTGTTGCTTTAACCAGGTCATCAATTAAAGCCACAGGGCTATAAGGATGAATCATATCTTACTTAAAAATAAAATTTTCCCATTACCTCAATAGTATTCATAAAGTGATGCTTCAGCTTTGGCCCTATTCTTTTCTTTATTCTTTAGGCATGCCAAGAATCTGAAATTGCAGTTCTACTTGTTATAATAAATGAATGCAGACAGCTGTAACTTCAAGACTAGTTCTAGTCAAATCATTTAAGATTCAGCATTTAATCCTATTTTATAAGTGTGCCATTTACTTCTGTTTGGAAATTAGAAATCAAGACCTGCAGTCAATGTAGCCGTCTGTGATCCAACTAATTAAGCTAAAATGACAGGACTTTGTTACCTTTAAAGCCCTTCAGGAAAGTCTTCATCAAATGATTTCTGGGGTTTTCTTACACATTTATGTTGCTATTAAAATTATTTTCTTAAAAATAATCAAGTTTCCAAGTTCAATGAGTAAATAAAACAAGCAGTGTCCTCATAGGTGTGACGTTAGGACCTGATGGCAGGTCCCAGAGCACATCTACTTTGAGGGAGATACTTAAAACACTCCATACTCATTCATAACAACTTTTTTGCAAGTTTATAAACACTATTTTTATTATTGATGTCTTCTCTTTTTAGTAATATTACTGCTTTATTGTAATTGATGTGCGATGTCCAGAAGCAATGAGATAGGTGTTTGATGAAGATCAGAGTGCAGACGAGAAATCTTATGGACGGTGAAATGAAATGAGAAAGAGGAAGAGGAC